AATAGTCATACATACGATATACACCTATATACACGGTTCAACCTACCCATCCTTTACCCCATATGTGAGGCCTATGAGCTTCTCTCGTCTTATCTGCGGCTCTTCGTGTGTTCGCACAATCTCAAACGTGTTCGTGTCCACCAGAGCTAAGTGTCCATCCGACCGGCCGCACGCGATACGTTTTCCCCGACAGTCAAAGGTAGCCACGTACATGATGCTGTTTTTGAAATACGTAAATGAAGTACGTAAATCATACACGTAAAATACAATATCAAAAAATTGATGGACTAGTCTGGGGAAAGGTGTGAGGTTCTTTTCTTCTCCGACATGCGCATAATTACAAGAAAATGAAAATACGCCACTGGGAACGAGATGATTTGCACTGAGATTGGTAGTGCCTGTATGCCAAGCGCTCAGCAGAGTACCTCTGAAACCCACAGTGCACACGCATTAGAATACTGCAGGAGCCAATTAGAAATGTGGGTAGAGACATTGTAACTAAAACCGATACTATAATTGACTAATTAAGGAATTGAGTATAACACTATAACTTACTATAATTGTAGTCAGGACTAATAATATAATACTATAATACTGCAACACAACGGTGTTAAGAAACAATTTATAACTCTATAATTAACTATAATTGATATTAGGACTAAAATTATAATGTCGTTTCAGAAACTTGTGCGGGTCCCCTGTGTCGTAAGCTTTCTGCCCTACGATATCTGTGTAGGTCCTTCATCTATATTATATGTGCAGAAGCGAACAGTACAATCTGAGAGGGTATTTGCGACAAATGGTAGAAAGTCCCGGATATAAGCGCGCCTTTGACCCACTCCCCTGGTTTGTAAAATTATACTATAATGCTTTCCTTCAAAATTCACTATAATACTATAACACAACGGAGTTAAGATATTAATTATAACACTATAATTAACTATAACTGTAAATAAGACTAATATGATCATATTATAATATTGTAACACACCGGATGATGGTTATTCCCATGACTTTCCCGCGTGTACGCCCATGGGACGTTGAATCACAATGAATATAGCTACTCATAAATGTCGATATACCATTCATATATTAATTGGTTGCGTATGAATATTATATTAGTTGCTTGATACACACACTATTATTTAGACCACAATCGAGAGCCTCGAAAATCTAAGAATAATTGAAGGCAACACCAGTGCTACGAAACAACCCCGGTGCATGTATGGATTGCTATTATAGAGCTAGCTCGCACGCACGCACACGACCAAAGAGGGCACAGAAGACTCAGTCAAGAATGACGTACACTATCCTACAATATCAATGTCACTACAGGGAAATATAAACATATATACAT